ACAAACTACACTGGCTATATACTGAACATACTACACTGGCTTTATACTTGACAGACTGCACTGGCCCTATACTTGAAAACTACACTGGCACTATACTTGAATACTACACTGGCTATATACTGGACAGACTATACTGGCACTGTACTTCAAGACTGCACTGGCTATATACTGGACAGACTATACTGGCACTATACTTGAATACTACACTGGCTATATACTGGCAGACTACACTGGCACTATACTTGAAGACTACACAGGCTAAATACTGGACAGACTACACTGGCTGTATATATGGAGACTACGTTGGCATTATACTTGAAAGACAACAATGAATCTATACTGGACAGACTACACTGGCTCTATACTTGACAGACTACACTGGCAATATACTTGAAAGAATACATAGGCTTTGAACTGGACAGACCAAACTGGCTCTATACTTGACAGACTACACTTATTCTATACTTGACAGACTACACTAGCTATCTACTGGGCAGACTATATTGGCTCTATACTTGACAAAAAACACTGGCTCTATACTGGACAGACTACATTGGCTTTATACTTGAAAACTACATTGGCACTATACTTGACAATATGAACTGGCAGAATACTTGACGACTGCACTGGCTCAATACTGGACAGACTACACTGGCTCTATACTTGAAAACTACACTGGCTTTATATTGACTGAATCCACTGGCTCAATACATTACATACTAAGCTTGCTCTTATCTTGAAGACTTGATTGGCACTCTTCTTGACAGACTACACTATTCTATACTTGAAGACTACACTGGCACTATACTTAAAGGTCACACTGGTTCTATACTGTACATACGACATACGGCTTTCTTGCTCTATACTTGAAAAACTACACTGGCTCTATACTGGACCGACTACACTGGCTCTATTCTGTACATACTACACCGTCCCTATTCTGGACAGACTACACTTGCTCTATTCTGGACAGACTATACGAGTTGTATACTGGGCAGACTACACTGGTTCTACACTGGCCAGACTACATTGGTATTTTACTTGACAGATTACACTTGCCCTTTACTGTAGACTCAGGTTACACTGGCTCTATATTGGACATACTACACTGGCTTTAAACTTGCAGACATACTACACTGGCTTAATACTGAACATACTACACTGGCACTATACTTGACAGCCTACACTGGCACTATACTTTACAGACTACACTGGCATTATACTTTAAGGCTACTTTGGCTCTATACTGGACAGGCTACACTGGCTCCATACTTGACAGATTACACTGGCACTTTACTGTACACTCAGGCTAACTTGCTCTATACTGCGCTGGCTACACTGGCTCTATACTTGACAGCATACACTGGCTCTATACTTTACAGACTACACTGGCATTATACTTTAAGGCTACTTTGGATCTATACTTGAAGGCTACACTGGCTCTATACTTGACAGATTACACTGGCACTTTACTGTACACAAAGGCTAACTTGCTCTATACTGCACTGGCTACAATGGCTCTATACTTGACAGCCTACACTGGCTCTATACTTTACAGACTACACTAGCAATATACTTTAAGGCTACTTTGGCTCTATACTGGACAGGCTACGGTGGCTCTATACTTGGCATACTACATTGGCTATATACTGTGCAGACTACACTGGCTCTATACTAGACATACTACACTGGCTCTATACTTGACAGACTATAGTGTCTCTATACGAGACAGAGTACACTGGCTCTAAAGTGAACAGACTAAAGTGGCTCTATTCGACAGACTACACTGGCTCTTTACTGGACAGACTACAGTGACTCTATACTTGACAGTCTACACTGGCTCTATACTTGACAGACAACACTCGCTCTATACTTTACAGACTTTACTAGCATTATACTTGAAGACTACACTGGCTCTATACTGGACAGACTACACTGCCTCTCTACTGGACAGACTACACTGGCTTTATACTGGACAGACTTAAGTAGCTCTATACTAGACATACTACAATGGCTCTATACTTGACAGACTCAAGTGGCTTTTTCTTGAGCAGACAATACTGGCTCTATACTGTTCAAACTGCGTAGCTTTATCATATGCAGACTACATAGGTCTATACTAGAAATATTAAAACTTTTAATTAAATTCTGTTTCATGAAGTAGAGGTGAAGAAATACGAATTAACTTCAAAGTTTACAGAAATTTAGCAGCTTTGGTGATAAATTTTATTAATTTTCTGAAGTTCACAAGAATGCCACTTGATTACATTTTTTTATTATTTTGTTTTTTTTCTGATCAAGTTCATGCTATTATTTGATTTTTTGGCATCAATTCTTTCTTAGAACTTTTGAATTGGAGGTTTAAATACTGGAAAAACTTTGTTCTTCCTATGCTATTTTCAAGTAAGAAAAACCAACGACCTCCACAAGGGCATTTGCAAATAATATAATGTCGGTGAAGCCGCATAAACATCTACCAATCATTGACGATAATTATTCATCCTGTTTCTGTATCCACTTATCACAAGCATTTCAAGTTGATGTTAATTGTCCTTCTTCCTGGTCTAGAACTGAAATAAAAGGAAAAAGAGAAATAGTTTGTCATTTTCATTAAAAGGAAATTGGCAAAGTACCTCGTTGTTGATGTTTAATTGTACTTCCTTCTTAATTGAAGTAATCATTAAACGACTTGTCATGTAAATTAAAACAAATGAACAACCAATTCATAAACACAATAAAAGTAACTAATCTCAGTTGTAAAATTAATAAAATAACTTCAAGCATTTGCAAAGTGTGATATTCGTTTGCATCCAATACTATCAATAAAGCATCTTTCTCAATTTCCGATCGATAACATTTCCATATTGTACTCCATCTAGCATCATTTTCATATTTTCATGTCAGTAACTGACTTAAACTTTCTTAAAGACATATTGTGCATCAAAAATTTATATCTTTTAATTGTTTAGAAAATATTTAACATGTGTCTTAAGTCTGATTTTATTGACCTGCCAATTATGAATACACTATAGCACTCATTTAAATATTCGGCCCAACTTCGGTTTGGCCCGTGTAGTTTACGATAAATAATGTGGATATATAATTCATGAAAGTGACAACAGCTTAATGTAATCCACAATATCACAGTCTGTTAAGTGAATGCCTGATAATTGGGAGGTCTGTAGTTCCATCCCTACTGATGACATTGTCACTGCGGATGATCACGTGACCAAACTCGGACAATGGGCACATAAAATGGCGGCTTAAACGCTCGGTTAAAGCAGTAGAATTGATTTAAGCATACAGTTAACGTTAAATTTATATGTAAAACTAGGCCGCACGGAAACCCTGTATAAAAACCACGTACTGTTCTGATATTGGTTACTTTGTTGCTCTTTCTGTTTAAACCTGAAAGTCGAAAAAGTTGTTTTTGGTGATGAGTACAATGGACGAACAGGTACTAAAATGCTTTGTTTTTATAAAAAGAAACGTATTTTAGCAAAATTAGCAATGACATATTGTGCACAAATTCAAATTTGCCAGTCATGAACAATTTCCATCCTTCCTGTCTTTGAAATCATACAAATATAATACATGTATTTGAAAGTGAAAAGTAGGAAGAAGTATTTAATTAAATGAATTCAGTTAGCTTGCTATAAATTCTTATCTTAATAGTATGCTCCTTTATCTAAATAGTATTCTGCTTTGATAACACACGTGTACATCAGCTTGCAATACAAAAATAAAATAAAAACATGTACATTATATAGAATTTATTTCACCATCAAAATATATGTTTCAATTACATACAAAAATTGTCAGTTGTTGTTTTGTTTTTTTCAGACACAGAAAAGAAAGGGTGTTCCTTTTAAAAGAAAAGCATGTTAACGTATATCTGTGGAATATAGACATGTATTGTATATTATAAATTTGTTAAATTTTAATATTGCGCTTATATTATCGCTAAATACTTCATCACACCATATTAAGTAATTCAATATCTTTATAGGAATCGGATATTCTGATGTGTTTATTTGCCGGCATTATGGTAAATCGTATAGAAGACGATCAGCTTCATGTCGTCACGAGCAGGTTCACAATGGGAAGGTACCCAATAAATGCTGTGGCACATGGTTCCTAAGTTTAGGCAAATTGCAAAGACATGACTTTGTAAATTTCACATCATAGATGAAGTACATTTGGATGTCTGATATTTCTACATACGGCTTGAGTGTCTAAGATGGAAAGACACAAAGAAACGGTTACATGTAAAAAAAGAAAAGCTTTTAAGAAAAAGAAATTAGATAACCCTTTAGCAATATATTGCCCCTTTATTTGCTATAAGTAGCGACATACAATGTACCCTTTTTGTTGAGAAATTAACGCATTATAATTATATGTTCCTAAATGGGTACAATTAAAGTACAAAATTTCATATGAGGACAAATATTATGAAACCCGGTTATAATAGTTCCAACACCGTTAAACACAACATGGAAGCTATATTTACATCAATAATCTATTGGTATTTCTAAATTCTAATTTGTTTCAGAGCGAACAACTATAGCGGAGAAAACTGCATCAGTGCGAATAATGTGGCAGTTCGTTCGCGACAAAGTCTGAACTTGGATCAACACAAGATATTCTATGCTAACCCATTCTAACTTGCAGAATCTGCCCAAATCTTTTCAAACTAGGGCAATGCTGATTGATCACCTTCTTCCCATCCCGGTAAAAGGAAACACAAATGTACTTGTATTTTCATAGCACATTTACAGTTTGTTAAGAATCACCTTTGTAATTTGATTATCTTTTGACTTAACACCGTGACGTATTTTGCCATTTTATTCGTTAGTCTCATATAATTATTTACTCTTTTATACCATCGTTTTTTTATGTGTTTTTTTGTCTTATTCCTTAAGTTAAGATAACTGGTATATATTCTATCAAAATGAAACGTATAAACTTAACCACTTAATGTCAAGTGATTCACTTCAAATTCCATCGTCTAATCTCGCGTTGCGTATAACACAATATTATTTGATTTGTATGCGCATAACGAAACAGCAGTACAATTTGGACATAATTGTGAGAGCTATATTAATTAAAAAAACGTGTTTTTTTTATTTCATATGGTTATAGTTGTAAGTCAGTTTTAAAAAGCAGATTATTAAAGGAATATATTAATGACATATGAGCTTTCAACGTGCATTCTTAAAATGATCTTATTGTGCATCGTGATTTTGTCGTCTGTCACCATTCAAACAGTTAAAAGTCAAGGGGATAAAGAATGTGACTGTAAGGGATTTGGATTAGTAAAGGATCTAGTACTACAAGTGGTGATGGAACAACGAATGGAGTCTGCTAAACTTAGTAGATTAGAAGCGAGGCTAAAGACATACGAGACAACTTGGCCAATTCTAAATGGTACAATTATGTTTCTAATTAATACTTATATTGTTGACTTAATCGTAAAAAACATGCTTTATATGCATAAGTACCTTGGTTTTCCGTCCAATGAATCATTAATAGGATATTCAACTCTCATCTAGAATTGCATGTCTTTAAAATCTGCCTAAAAACAAACGATGCGATATAGTAAAAAACGAAACACCTTATTATGTGCGTTATGTGTTTGTGTACTATTTGACTACAATTGTACATTACCTTTTTCAGTGTCAAAATTGTGTGTTATCAAAATCTTTTTCTTTATATTTCAGATCGTCTGAAAGGGTTAGAAAAAAACTTAAACGATATCAATATGAAATTTAATGAAACAGTAACTGGGGCAAAGGATAAACAAATGGGATTCAATCGCGGCATTGGTACTATTGTTCAGAAGGCGCTAATCTCGGAGAAAAAAGAAAGAAAAAAATTGGTTTCAAGCATGAATAAAATAGTTAATGAATACAAGGACAACGTCGAAACGTTCAAAGTTGCGATTAACAAGACCATCGACAAACGTTTCCAAGACATAACTGCTAAGCAAGTGGACTATAAGGCCACCATTGAAACGTACAAAGAAGCGATTAACAATACCATCGACAATCGTTTCCAAGATATTGCAGCTGAACAAAGGGAATATAAGAACACCCTTGAAACGTTCAAAGTTTCGATTAACAAAACTATAGACGAACGTTTCGAATATATATCTGCTAACCAAATCAAGTACAGGAATGAAATTTCATTAGATCTTATCACAATAAACGAGACGAGATATATGGTAGATACACTTGGTAAAATAGTGGAAGGAGGCCAAGGTCATTATATGTTTTTTCTTTCTCATCTTTCAACCAATCAAAAGAATAATATACACATGTATAAAGCCTTTTTCGCCGATAAACATATTCACTTATTATTAACCTGTAATAGAAGTTTCGGAAACATTATTATAAGTGCTGCAATCTGGCAAAATCATGTCTGACATTTATTGGGATAATTAACACTAGTTGTTGTTCTAGCATTAATTCGGAAGGTCATTTTGATTTTATCTTTAGTCACATCTAAAGGGCTGATTATCCCCCTTATATACTTTTTTATTCATTGAACATCTTTTTAAAACAATAGCTTAAAATTATCACGCTAATGAAATAAAATATTGTTAAGGCGTAAGAACGCAAATAACGGTATTATAACGCAAACAAATTGCATAGTTACGTGAAACAAAATATAAATAGTATCATTCATAAAGTCGTAATAATGCAAAATAAAAATATCTTGAAATGCGGAAAAATATGTTATTACATCAAAGAAAAGCAGTTATAACCCGGAGTAAAAGAAGTAAAAAACGTAAATGAAGTTGAAATTTGATGTTTATTCTTTGAACGCTTTAGCTTCAGAATGTTCGTACAATATTGATGTTATTATTGTAGTTCGATTAGTTAACGGCTCGAATCAGTATGAAGGGAGACTAGAAGTATGGCATGATTGGTCTTGGGGAACAGTATGCGGTGATGGGTTTGATACGCTATCTGCAAGTGTCGTTTGTAAGATGCTTAATTTTCAACAGTAAGTTAACAATTGTTTTATAAAACTAAGCCAAACAAATTTCAAACGTTTTTGTTTCAGGCAATATATAATTGTAGGTATTCATTTAGGCCGAAGACAACGCGTTTAAAAAATGGAAAAATTAATGTATGATTTATATATATCAATAAATTAATATGGTATATGTTTTTATATCTAATTAGAATAGAACTTTGCTACCTTAGTATTATTGTTTTACAATGAAATACGAGGGTTGTTCAAAATGTAATAGGACTGATAGTCTTGCATATTCATGTTTCATTCAATCTAGAATAGTTTTATAATAATTGACAGCGACCGTAACAAATTTTCTACAGTTTAAGCATAAGTTCATTACTTTATTGTGCTAAACGCGTGTTAATTGGATAACAATAACACGCACACGGCGCAACACATCAAAAGAATAATTGAAGCTAAGATGTACATCAAATTTAATTACAATTTATTATTTGGTTGTCCATATATTCCATCATCAAATTAAATTAAATATAAGTTATAATATGCACATTTGACGTCATTCGGACATGACTTTGCTTAATTATAAAGTTTTGAACAGCAGCGGTCATAGCGTTAAATGTAGAAATTTGATATTCGTTAACAAACTGAAAATCCGTGCGATCATGAAATTTTGCCAAATGATTGACTATACTTCTTCAGATACATACATAATGATTAAATTAACAAAGAAAAATTATCCTGCCATCAGGACACTCGTTTTCAGCTGGCGCAAGCAATTCAAAAACGGGGAATATAAGATCACTAACAGGAAAGAGCGATGATAAAAGCAGAAAATTGACGGGACGTAAGTAACGTCAATTTCAAAAGCGTTTCATCGACGGTAACCGGTACGCGACCTGTCCGGCATTTTTTTCTGCTTCGAGTCTACCTATACAGTTCTGACCAGATGGTTGGATTTGAGACATTTGTTTCAAACAGTATATTATTATATTCAAAAAGATAAGCGTGTTATCGATAGATTATTATAACAATGATAAACAGTAATAGTAATTAGTATTTTCCTCGATTTAATAATTATAAATGATAAGCTGATTAGTAAAAACTGGTACTTTTTAATTGATAAATATTGTTATATTTACTGATATGTGAAAATTGATAATAAAATTCCCTTAAATATAAAAATTATAAGCCAAAGCCTGTTAAGTTCCGGTGTTACTATATTATATACAATGACCGGCTATCGGAGTTTTTTTTAAAAAGTGGATCGAGATTGTGACCGCTTTCATTCTTGCTTCATCTCCACATATGAAGCTTGGTAATTGTAGCATATTTAGACACCTAGAGCACTAGGAAGAATGAATTGAGTAAGAATGACGCTTGTTGGCGACTGTTATGGAATGCTTTTAATTTTGCCCTATGGAAGGAGCTGTTATTATTAGCAGTTAATGTCATGTTGTGTTAATTAGTTTTATTATGATTCGTAAAAATCAAGTAAACAAATATGTTGTTATATTTGTATTTAATAACTTTATATAAAAAACATGTGCATTGTGATATTATTTTCACGAAATTGCAGGCTCAGTTTAACAAGCATAGTTTTAGTGACAATACTAAAACCCGGGATTTCGAAATATCCCGTTGAGGTCTAATTAATGCCGTATCCATTCATTCATTCATTAATATTTTCAAAATTTGCCTACAGAGAAGACGAGTGAGCCTGCTATGCAATTCCATAGTTTTATTGACTCCTGTCACGCGCGATGCAACTAAAAGTCTGATGCAACTGCTGTCGGATCTATAAATGAGCCTGCAAATAGACTATATCAAGACATACTGATATCGATAAGCCATACTATCCAGGTCACATATGAAGCTGAGCGTGGTTACATCTGTTCTTTTCTGTCTATCCTAAGTTATTTTACTTACTATTTTTTGTTGTTTAAAATTTAACAGTTGTAAGGTCATCAAAAGCATGTTAATTGTTAGGGATAGATATAGACCCATGGATAGCTCATCTCACACTTGGAATTTTCGAAATGTTATGTGCATACATGTATATCTTTAGTATTATTGATATATGATACGAAGACTTTTAATGTCCAGCTCTACCATGGCGCTGGGAGAGAGGTGATATCGTAGTCCGACGCATGACTCTGTGAGATGCCACTCTATAGTACTCCTCCCATCATCTCGATACTCAACCGTCAAGAGTGGGTGGAGTGAATTATATACATCGCATCGAGCTCACAACCAGCCAATAAATATGCTAAATACTACAAGTCCAGTAGTAGTCTCACTTCTACTTCCTGCTCTTCTGTGATGAGCGATCTGACGCTCTCATAAGTAGACACTTGCGACACACCGATAAATAAATATATACAACTTCACTAAGCTAGATAACGCGGACCTACTCCATCGTCTGTACATCTCCTAACCTCTCACGCCAGAGCTCAGCTTACCACCACGTCATAACATTGTACTTGGCCTTGAATAAATTTGGTGCACTAAATTTTTAAGTGGTTGATGTGTGTCAAATGAAAACCAACATAGGACAAAAAGTAACCGGGCGCCAGATGAAAACATGAAAATACAATCTACCACAAAGTGGTTTGTTTGTTGCATTTTCATGTTGTCGCCCGGTGCCATTGATGCAAAATACAAATCACCCCTCATAAAATTTCTTATCATAGAAAAAAGGTTAGTTTTTTATGTTTGCACAGTTATGTTCACTTTCAAATTGACCTGTTATAAATAATGGCACAACCAATAACTGTCTAAGCCCTAATTAATAAAAATAATTACATGTATACAATAATATATAAATTCTTACCTTAATTAAGACTATGAGTATGTAAGGTTTTTTTTTTTTCTTATCTATTAATTAAGAATTAAATATTTGTTAATCTAAAAATCTAAAGTATCTGTCACGGTTTAGAACTGTTCACTATTTAGGGGAGAAATTGTGTAAAGCGCGCCCAGATAGCTTTAATCGCACAAGCTTCGGTACATTATTTCTGTGGGTCTCAGGTTCGAGTTCTGGTCAAAGCTGAAAGTTTTTCTCATTCCTGTGACTGCATATAGGCATGAATTCAATTTATTATGCTCTGTAAACATAATGGAAATTCAAAGACACAAATCAATATAGTGGGGAAATATGTTGAGGTTTAGAAGTGTTTCATAATTGAAGAGAAAATGTGTAGTCGGCTGGATAGCTCAGTTGGTCTTCTGAAAGTCATGGGTTCGAGTCATGGTCAGGCGGTTCCAGTCATGGTTTAGAAGTGTTTAGATTTGAAATGGACAAAGGCAGCATTGCATGATACTCTTAGATATACAAAGGGCATTTGATACTGCACATGAAGAAGTTCTTTTTCTTCTTCTTAATAAAACTTCAAGCATCTGCCATATGTAATGACATTCTTACATGGTTTAAGTCTCATCTCTGATAGACAGCAGCTGGTGGATGTGGCTGGTACTCATTCTACTACTGCTCTGAGTACTATGGTGTCCCCCTGATGTTCAATTAGGTCCTCTTTTATGTCTAATATATGTCAATGACATGTCTGCAACCCAAAGCAATAAGCTTTTATTATTCATGCCACAGACACGAGTATCAAACCTGGAAGAAACAATATGACCAGTTTGGAAAAAAAACCTGTGTATCATCTTAATAGTGGTCAAAAAATGTAAATAATGACCCCTTTAAAAATATACTTTAAGTTAATAGTATATTTTAAAAGGGGGTCATTATGTTAAAATTTTTTGCGGGGGGGTGGGGGGTTTTATCGAACAACAGTTTTTTTTTATCAATCTTGCGTCTGTATTTTTCTTCCCATGTCCGATACTTGTACCTGTGAATGGATTATATGCTGATGACCTCAAGGTATCCTCTTATATCTTAGTAAAATAAATTGAAGAAATTCTTTCTTATAGCATGAGTCTTATAAGATTGCTTAATTGATTATAAATTGTCTTTGCATCTTGGCAAGACAGAGTCTATTTTTTTGGTTTAAGTTTCAACTTAAACTGGGCCTACAGGTTACATGAAATGGTACTGCTATAAAGTACACATCTTTTGTTAAGTGTTTAGGTGCAAACCTGGATCAAATTCTTTTGGCGTCGCCCTTTGATGCTTTGCATCAATGCTTTTCTTGTTGCTTTTTGAATCATTTCACGACGTCATGGACGTCATTTATTTTATTGTAAGCGTGCGCCTGGTTGAGTACCCCTTGTCATTTGAAAATTTCACAGAATTGTTGTTTGTAAACATTTTGTATTGATTTTTTCACTATATATAAAGAACATGTTCCGATATGTGTGTCTTGTAAAATTATGTACGTAAATTAAAAATTGTGAAAAGGATAGCTGTAATCCTATTACTTTGGGAACAACTCTCGTACAAAATAAAAACCAGGAACTTGCCAATTATGTTTTAACCTCAATGTGTTAGATGTGTGTTCATTTCCACAAAGATGCATTAAAGAGATTGAATGGATTGACATATGTATAATATTATATGATCGATCATCATGCTTTATCTGAGTTACTTTAATAAGAAACTTAATCATTTAAGCACTTCTCCTCGAGTATACGGGTCCGCACAATTCGGTGCTGGAGCATCACTTATACATTTAGACAATGTTGACTGTAAAGGAAATGAAACAAGCATAACGCAATGCCGGCATAACGGGTGGGGAATAAATGATTGTGAACACCGCGAAGATGTTGGTATCTCATGTACACCAGGTAATGTTTGTCAAATTAAAATTGTTTCTGAATATACTTGTGATATATAGCACATTTGAAATACAGTGAACATTACGCACATGTCTATAAAAATTAAAAAACGATTAATACTGATTTTTCACAAAAATGTCTTTTAGTACTTCTCATTAAACAAAAAACGTATTATATCAGATTTAAAAGAAGGTATTACCTTCAACAAAAATAGATGAACCTTTTCCAAAGAAGGAAAAATGATTTAAAAAAAGAATACAGATAAAAATATCTAATGTTAAAAGCTTCATGTACATATAAAAATAAAGAAAGATATATATTATTCGGGAAATGTTACACAGAAAACAGTTTCTGGTTGTACTGAAAAAATTAAAGAGGATTTCTTTATGCACTTGTGTTTTACCATTTTTAGCTCAGCTGAGCATATGCTCAGGGTGAGCTATTAAGATCACTCTTCGTCCGTCGTCCGTCGTCCGTTGTCCGTTCACACTTTTAAAACGACATCTCCTCTGAAACCATAAGGCAGATCATAATGAAACTTCACAGGGATGTTCCTTGTGTGAAATAGATAAATACAGAATCCCTAAAGAAAGCCCAACACGGCAAAATTGAAAATGTTGCAGGCTCGGTTTGATTGAGCCTGTTCATGAAAGCCTTTACAAAGTTTTTCAAAGAATTCCATTCCATGCAGAACTTTGGTTGCCATGGAAACCAAAGGAAAAAACTTTAAATATTTTCTTCTAAAAAAACCAAAGAGCTAGAGCTTAGATATTTGGCATGAAACATCTTCTAGTGAGTGTCTACCAAGTTTGTTCAAATAAAAGCCCTGGGGTCAAAATTGACCCGGCCCCAGGGGGTCATTGATTTTCCTATATGCATATAGTAAAAACTTAAATAATCTTCGTTTAAAGAATCCAAAGAGCTAGAGCTAAGATATTTAGCATGAAACATCTTCTAATGGGTGTCTACCACGTTTGTTCAAATAAAAGCCCTAGGGTCAAAAATTTGGCCCCGCCCAGGGGGTCATTGATTTTCCCTATATGCATTATAGTTAAAAATTTAAATTTTTTTTTTAAAGAATGCAAAGAGCTAGAGCTAGATATTTAGCATGAAACATGTTCTAATAGATGTCTACCAATTTCGTTCAAATAAGAGCCCTCGGGTCAAAATTGGCCCCGCCCTGGGGGTCATTCATTTTCCTTATATGTTTATCACAAAAACTTAAAAGATCTTTTTTGAAAAAAAAAAAAACAAATACCTACAGTTTAGATACTTAGCATGAAACATCTTCTAGTGAGTGTCTTCCAAGTTTGTTCAAATAAAAGCCCTGGGGTCAAAATTGGCCCTGCCCCGGGGGTCATTGATTTTCCTCATATGTGTATGACAAAAACTTAAAAATCTTCTTTGAAAAAGCCTGAATAGCTAGAGTTCAGATATTAAGCATGAAACATTGTCTAGTAAGTGTCTACAAACTGAACTGATTATATATATTCGTCGAGAATACTTAAACTCGAACAATCGTTTTAAAGGAGGGGAAGGTAATAGTAATAGTATATATTCGAGATCGTTATCTGGAAATACCATTGGCTGCAGCGACATCAAGGTTTTTTTTTAAATGAGTCCCTAGGTTTGATTTCCGTAGACAAAGAAATCCGGGATTGAGCCGAAACCCATACGCTTTCAACATAAAGGTTCGCTATAATGTTAAATATTCAAGCACCCTAAGGATAGATTGTCTGCTTTTCAGCTCACCTAATATGGGTAAGGGTGAGATTTTAGGATCGTTCTATGGCCATCGTCTGTCTTCCGTTGTCCGTCCACATGTGCTTGTTAATACCGAGTGGTCACATTTTTGCGTGAATCATCATCAAACTATGTAAGGAAGCTTGTCTGTTTAATTGCTCGGATTAAATTGAACATTGGTCATCTCGGATGAAAAACTAGGTCAAAGGAGAAATAAATAGAAAAACATTGTTAATACTCTAGTTGTTACATTTTTTTCTCAATTGTCAACAAACTTGGTCAGGATGCGTAGCTTAGTTATTGCTCGGATTAATTCGAACATGGGTCATCTCGTATGAAAAACTAGGTCACATGAGCTTAAAAAGAAAAACCTTGCTTACAACTCTAGTGGTCACATTTGTGACTCAATTGCCATAAAAATTTGTCACAATCCTTGTCTAGTTAATTGCTCGGATCAGTTTTAATATTGTCATCTAGAATGAAAAACTGGGTTACATGAGCTAAAAATAGAAAAATCACATTCTTATGGCTACTGTTTACATTCAAATATCCTGGAAATTTGTATGAACGTTTGTTTTGGAAATATCTAGGTCAAGTTTGGATATAGGTCAGTTGGGGTAAAAAACTAGGTCACTACGCCAGAATATGTAAGACATTGTTAACACTCTAGTTGTTATATGCTTTACTCAATTATCATTAAACTTGGTCAGGATGCTTGACTAGGTAATTGCTTGGATGACTTCGAACATGGGTCATCTGGAATGAAAAACTAGGTCAATTGAGCTAAAAAATCTTGTTACCACTCTTGTGGCTATAAATCATATCTAAATATCTTGCAAATTGTTATGAAAGTTTGTTTTAATGATTTCTAGGTCAAGTTTGAATATGAGTCACATGGAGGTAAAAACTAGGTCACACCAAATATGAAAAACCTTGTTACCACTCTAGTGGTCACCTTTATTACTCAATTGTCATCAAACTTGGTCATGATGCTTGTCTAGGTAATGTCCGTCATTTGTCGTCCGTCGTTCGTCCACATTTGTTCGTTGATATCTAGTGGTCAAATTCTTGCGTGAATCATCATCAAATTATATCAGGAAGCTTGTCTAGGTAATTGCTCGGATGATTTTGGACATGGTTATCTCGGATGAAAAGCTAGGTCACAGGAGCTAAAAATAGAAAAATTAAATAGAAGAAAAAAAACACTCTTGTTTCAACTGTTTTGATCAAACATCCTGGATATTAGTATGAAACTTTGATTGAATGATTTCTAGGTCAGGTTCGAATATGGACTACCTAGGGTCAAAAATAGGTTACACCGCTTAAATATGTAAAATCATTGTTAAAGCTATCGTTGTCATTCATTTAACTCAATTGTCATTAAACTTTGTCACGATGATTTTCTAGGAAATTGTTCGGATAAGTTCGAACATGGGTCATCTCGGATGAAAAACTAGATCACAGGAGCTTAATATATTGTTAAAGTTCTACTGGCTCTATTTTGATCCAAATATCCTGAAAATTTGTCTGAAAAATATGTTTTGATGATTTTTAGGTCAAGTTCGAATAGGTGTCGTCTAGATTCAAAAGCTAGCTTACAACGCCCAAATATGGAAAAGCCTTGTTTACACTCTAGTGATCATATTTTGACTGAATTGTCATCAAATTGCCTTGAAAATGGGGCTAGAAATGTAATTTCTGAAGCTGAATTAATGTTGATATCAACTGACCAATTTTCGATATTAACGATTTTATTTAAATTAAGTTCTTGCTTTTTGAAGTACAGACTTGACATTTGGACCAGGGGTGTAATTTCAGATGCAGAAGCGTATATTGATATCACCTGTCCAACCCTTGATATTTTCTATATCACTTGACCTACCTTTTGTTTTTTTGTTTTTGACAAACAGACTTGAGATTTGGACCATGGGTGTAATTTCTGAGGCCAAATATTTTGATATCAACTGTCGAACTGTTGATATTATTTATATGAATTTGACCTTCTTTCTTGCATTTTGACTTACAGACATGCATTTTCGACCAAGGGTGTAATTTCTGATGCCGAGTTTATTTTGATATAAACTGACCTTCTTTTGATATTTTTGACCTACTTTCTTGTTTTCTTACATATATAATTTAAATTGTACCACTGGTGTAATTGTTTATGCAGAATTGAATAAAATATCAGTTGTCCTACTTCTAATGTTTTTGTTATGGCTTGAACTACAATGAAATGATGGGTCATATGAGCGATCTTGGTTCATCTTGGCCCTTATGCTAAATGTGTCATTAAAAAATTTGCTTTTCTGTTTTAGCATGCTTTATATACTTTGGTCCCCAGTCAAAGAACCATTTTATTACGTTTTGTCCATCTTTCCTTCATTTAGGCCACGATGCCACGTACACGCATTTTTTACGAGATCACATTTTCTTAGAATGGCATGAACTTGTCACATTAAAGGTTCTATGATAACTTCGAAGAGAAGACTGACAAAACCCACCTTACAACCGAATTCATACCATTATGACACAAATTTATTCTAAACAAACACCAATGTCATGTCATTTAGGTTTTAACAAAAATCTATCATAGATAGTTTAATCTTCTTCAATTGTTTTGGTCTTAAATCAATCATTAATCTATATATTTTAAATTTTTCATTCACGCCCATTTATAATAAAAACTAATCAATTCATAATGCACATTGACAAACCTTTAAGTAGAATGATAATACCTTTGCAGGTTCTCAGTATATGTTGACCATAACACCTGCTTCTTAACGTGTTTCAGGGAAAATTACATTAAGAAAGATCAAACGCATAACTTTGTTTATATTCACATTTGTTGTTTTAATTTACTGTATTCCATACAGTCTGACGAAAGATAAAAAGTTATTGCTTGTATTTTCCAACTGGTAATGGATAAAATTCAAACGCCAATGCCACTAGCAACTGTAATTATAAAATATACAGCAGGTAATTTAAGTAAAATACTTATTCCCTTAGAACCCTTGATTATGTAACTTTGCTAAATTAACTTCAGCATTGTTTGTTTCACTTAGCACCATTTGTATTGACCTCAATTTTGTTTATTTCATTTAGAAAACTTTCATAATGACTTTGCTAAAATGACCTCAACACTAATTTGTTCATTTAGAACATTTGATTTTGTGACTTTGCTAAAATGTCCCCAAACTCTGTTTTTAATTAGAATCCTTTATATTGTCACCTATGCTAAAATTACCAAATTCTAACCAAACTTAAAC